GGGGGGGGGGGGGTTTCCCCGGGGCTCCCAGAGATCTTTATAAAAGGAGGGGTTTGCACGGGACTCGGCATGAGTCTTACCTTGAGCTTGTCGAGGTAGGTGTGCTCCTGGTTCCAAGACTCCTGGAACCTGACGAGGTCAGGGGCGCCCTTGTAGAACTCCACCAGCAGCATCTAAGGAACCGGGGTGGGGGGGCAGGTGAGCCCCAGCGACCGCGCTTCCCGAGCCAGGCACTCAGGATACATGAGCGAGTGGGACAGACACTGCTGCCACCCCTCGGGGGGCCTCTAGTCTAATGCAGTGGGGCATGTAGACGTTACCCAGGTCCTGAAGAAATTAGGGGCTTGGCAGGAGGGCCCCCTGGAGGGGGAGACAACTTCCGCAGAAGCAGCAGGCACACTGAATGTGATTCTTTATACCTGCCCCGGTCCTGACACGGCTCCACGGTTTAGCCTTAGCCAGAGCAGTGACATCAGTGAAGTCACAGGTGTGACGAACCAGCTCCGTTTGTTGACGTGCCTGCTCGCTATTCGTCAAAGTAACACCTGAGGTTCTCACGTGTCCCCACTTGGAGAATCCCTGGCAGCTGCGGAGGCCCAAGGTGGGAGCGTCCCTAGCATGTTCCAGAACAGCCAGGAGGGCGATGGGGGAGAGGTAGGAGGGGCTGAGGCAAGGATCTGGGACTTGATCCTAAGAGCCCGTGATTTTCAGGAGCGGAAGAGGAGCCTGACTGGGCCCTGATGTGGCCCCTTCAGCCAGCGCTTCCCAAGTCCTACAGTGTCACGTCCATCCAGCTGGGAACCCTCGGCTCCCACCTGCTCCTCCCAGGGCACCCACCCCACCCCCACCCACATCACGCGGCAGTGAACTCACCATCTCGTGAAGGACGTCATTAGTCAGGAAGCCATCCTGGACGTAGGCCATTTCCACGTCCATGGGGATGCCATAGTCACTGGGCCTTTGCTGGCAGAGACACACGCCAGTCACTACTAGCTACCCCCAACCCGGCCCCCCTCCAAGATGGCAGAGCACAGCAGGAAGTGCCCAGGGCTGGGAGTCAGAGAATTGATACTGCAGGCCTGGCTCCGCACTCGGATCAGATCCAGAGCCGCGCGAGACCTTAAAGGAACCCAGCAATGCGACTAGGGAGGCGGGGAGACAGGGTGGCACCCACCCCACCACACACACACAGAGGAGTGGCCATGGCTCCGGAATTCCTTTCTAAAGCTGATTTCTGACCCCGAGATGGACTTGGGGAATGAAACCAGCCAGGGCTCAGTAAGGAGGTTACCTTGGTGCAAAAGCAGCATGCTACAGGTAGAGCACCCACCTTTTCAACACCCCTCACACCCACAGCCTCAGGGCAATGATTATGTTCCCGCTTCACAGATGAGAGAAGCAGGCCCCAGCTCCCCAGATGAGCCCGGAACCAGAGTACTGGCTTCCTACTGCTAACAAGGCCTCCTGACCCCGCCCATGCCGGGCCCCGCCCACACCTCCCAGCCCCAGGCCTCCCCCCAGCAGCCCCGCCTACCTCAGGGGGCGGCATCACCCAGAAGGGTGAGATCTTGGACTCTGGGCCCGGGTTACCAGAGTAGTAAGGGGCTGGGGGAGGAGAGAGAGAGAAGGGGCTGGGCGTGGAGGCGCGGTGGCCCGCTGGGGCCCCACGCCCGCCCCTTCCTGGGACTCACAGCAGAGCAGGGCGAGGCAGGGCTGGAAGCCGTTGCTGGAGCCCTGCAGCCGCAGCTGGTAGTCCATCTGCGCGTCGATGTCCTGCAGCGACGGCAGCGCCGGACTGTACGGGTGGCTATGGTACCAGCCCACCAGGGACAGGCCCCGCAGGAGCAGGCTCTGGTAAATCTGGGGGCAGAGACGCACGGGGCCGGGGGCTCTAGCAGCCCTGGTGCGCTCACGTGCCTGGCACCCATCCAGCCCCACGCAGCCAGCATTTAATGAGCGCCTGCTGGGTACCAGTCCTGAGGACACAGCAGTGACGGAGACACACCCTGCTCTACCCTCAGCGAGTCCAGTGCGGGGGACAGTCAACAAATAACGTAAAGAAGTTGCTGCTATATTCCCTGGTGGTCCAGCGGTTAGGACTCCATGCTTTCACTGCCCAGGGCCTGGTGTTCAATCCCCGGTCGGGGAACTAAGATCCAGCAAGCCAAGTGGTGCCACCCAAAAAAAACCCAAAGATGCTCCTCACATAAATCTAAGGTAAAAGGTTATTTTGCTCACTGCTGTATCCTCAGCTCAAGGAACAATTGCCGGCACATAGTAGGCACTCAATCAAGTTAAATAAAGAGATAGGGTAAAGAGAAAGGAAGAAGTGGGCAGAGAAACGTGCGCGCGCCGAATCCACACCCATTCTGTGCCCTGTGACAAGGTGACTGTGGAGCGCAGGCATGTACTAAGCTCCCTATGAAAACATTAAGGACGGCAGCTAATACTTATCGGGCCTTTACCAGGTGCCAGACAGGCTCAGAGGGGAAGGGGCCGGCGGCGGCGTCTGTACAGAAGGAAGTATGACGGTGGGGGTCACAGGTGAGGGGACCAGAGGTCACACACACCCATTTGCACCCTTGCTGAGCGACGACACGGTGCTAGGCGCCAAGACGCGGTAGCCAGGACAGCTGTGTCCGTGCCAGCCCTCCCCAGAACGCTGAGTCACCGTGCACCCCCTCACCTCCTCTTCCATGGCGGCCGCGGTATCCGCGTCCCCCAGCCGGCTCCGACAGGGGAAGGCTCTCAGCACCGTGAGCACTGCGCGGAGGCGGGAGAAGGCGTGGACATCGACCCCAGCCCCAAACACCCCCCTGCCCACAGGCCCCAAATACCCACTCTGACTGTTGATGTCCCAGCGGCCGCCCAGGTACCCCACGACTTGGCTGCGGGTCAGGTGGCTGTGGAAGTCCTGGGGAGGGGAGGGACGTTGGAAGACCCGCTCAGACTGCGCACCGCCGCCCCAAGGCCGTCCTGAGGGCCAGGGCCCTTGTGTTCTGACGGGGTCAGCCCACCCACCTCCTCCTTCATTCAGACATTGATTGAGTGCCTACTGTTCACTGGTAGTGAACAGAGCAGACAAGGTCTCTGCTCTCATGGAGCCGACCTTCCAGGGATCCTCTGGTTGGGGTGGGGTGGGGGGAGACCCCCTGCCCAGGCCTGAGAGCCCCTGACCCCTAAGGGGCAAGGTAGGAGCTGGGCACACACCAGCAGGAACAGCACGTTGCTAGAGACGGCCACGTTGAACGGCTGGAACTTGTTGATAGCTGCGAAGGATGTTACTTCCACCAGGGTGTGCGGGTTCCTGAAGGAGCCAGGAGGGTTCCACAGCCTCAGGAACCCCCAGGCCCTTCCCTCACCCCCACGCTGGCTCCCCAGCTGCCCACAGCCAGCTCAGACCTGAGGCCTTGTCTCCACCCTACCCCTGCCTTTGTTTCCCATACGCCGGCAAGAGCTCACACCGATGGGGATGAGGGTCCCGGCAGGCATGGGGTGTATCTGACCTGGCAGAGTCTCGACTACCCAGCATGCAGTAGCGCACAGGCACTCGGATCTTGTTTTCCACCCTTTTGCCTGGGGGCGTGGCCTCTGCGGGGTTGGGGGGTAAGGGGAAAAAAAAAAAAAAAAAGGCAGGTCAGTTCCTTCCCCAGCCAGAAACTGGAAAATGAAGACCAGGCAGCAGGAGAAAGGAAAAAAAAAAAAAACGAGCTTCATCAGACCGTAAATCCCAGAGTAATGTTTGTTGGGGATCCAGGAAACTTCAGACTAGACAGGGCAGTGAAGAGAGAGAGCAGGAGAAAGGAAAAAAAAAAAAAAAACACTCCAGGGGCAGCCTTAAAAATCAGGCAAGTGGACTGGGAAATCAGGCGGCAGGTTAACCAATCAGGCAGAAGAGATTTAAAAACTCAGATGAAGATTTAAAAACTCAGGAAGTCAGGTGAGGACCAGGCAACGGGGCAAAGAAATCAGGCGGCAGGGCTAGAAATCAGGCAACAGGGCAAAGAAATCCTATGGGGGAGCAAGGAAATCAGGCGGCATGGTGAAGAAATCCGGCAGCAGACAAAGAAATTGGGCAGTGGGACCAAGAAATGTAGTATTAGAGCTGAAAGAAGTCAGGCAGTGAGAGTGAAATTAGGCAGCGGGGGCTGGGAAGTCAGCCAGGCATCTTGGGGGCTCTAAGGAAAAGAAAGGCCAGACTTGCCCCCAGCCTCCTCCCCCACCTGAGTCCTGTCGGCCTCCTGCCCTTCCTCCTCCCCTCCTCCCCCCACCTCTCACCAGGGTGGACAGGCTCCGAGGGGCTCTTCACCGGTGGTCTCCGACTCTTGTCCTCCGCTGAGGCTCCTGTCAGAACCTCCTCCTCCTCTTCCTCCATCATTAGCTCCTCCTCCTCTCCTTCGCTGGCCGGGCTCTGGCGGGGTCGGGGTTGGGGGGACAGCAACCGGACTTTCAGCTGGCTGCTCCCTACCCTCCCGGCAAGTTCCACAGAGACCTCCGGCTGGCCTGAGCCTTCGGTTCCTGTCGTTGCCCCAGGTGCCCACTAGAGGGAGGGAGTGAGCAGAAACAATCTAGGCTGTGGACTAGCCTCGCGAGTTCGAATCCCACCTCTGCCTATTACAAACAGACTTCGGGCTCTAGTCTCCTCATCTGTAAAACGGCACAGTGACCTCCAGTCCCACAGGGGTGGCGTAAGGGTGAAATGAGAATGCGTGCAAAGCATTTAGCATATGCCCTGTTGCTCCATTCATCCAGCAAGCAAGCCAGCACTTTGCATGGATTATTTTACCAGATTCTCTCAATAACCTCTGCCCCTGCTCTCTCCTCAAGACCCCTCGCCGAGGTGACCTCTCTGTGTCCAGACTCAATGCTCACGTCTCAGTCTCTGTCCCCCCGCTCCCCTCTCGGCAGAGTCTGCCCGGGTCAGTTCCTCTCCTTCCAGAAACTCCTCAGGGAACCCCCCACTCACCTGGCTTCCCTCCCACCTCTCCTGGACGCCCTTATTCTCCCCCATGTCACTCGCTGGCCCAGGGCTGGGTCCTCGGGCCTCTTTTCTTCCCCACCCACATCCCTCCTGGGTGGCCTCAAACCCCATCTACCCCCTGAACAACTGCCCACAGTCCTGACTCCAGCCTGGGGATCTCCTGAGCTCCTGACTCGGGGCCCAGCTGCTCCTTGACATCTCCTCGCGGGGGGTTCACACTCAACATGGCCACCCTGCCCCGACCATCCCCCCAAACCTGCTCCTCCCCACATCTCTGATGAGGGCAATCCTGTCTACCCACTTGCTCAGAACAAAACATCTCCTAACACCAACATCAGATCCATCAGCACATCCCATCAGATCCACTTTCAGAATTAACCAGAACTTGCCCACTTCCTCCCCCCTCAATAGCTGGCCTGGTCCACCCCATCATCAGCCGCCTGGATCTGTACAATCACCTGCACCCCGATTCCCCGGCTCCTACTCTCACGCCCTGGCCCCAGTCTGTACTCCCTACACCCTACAGCAGCCACCAGAGGGCGGCCGTGAGCACCTGAGTCAGGTCCCGCCCCCTCCTCTGCCCACAGCCCTCCAGGGCTCCCACCTTCCTCAGGGTAAAAGCCCAAGTCCACCCCGCAGCCCATGAGGTCCTGCACAACTTGGCCTTGTCCTCCCCCCGCACCAGCCCTGGTCCTCACCTCCTCCCTCTCTGCCCCTTGCTCACTCTGCTCCAGACACACTGGAGCCTCACTGTTCCTCAAAAACATCAGCCACAGTCCAGCCTCAGGGCCTTTGCATTTGCTGTTTTCCAGAAAGCCTTATGGCTCCCTGCCTCCCCTCCTTCAGTTCACTGATCAAATGTCACCTTCTCAGTGAGGCCTTCCCTGACCACCCTAACCCTCCCACCACTCCCATCCCCTGGCCCTGCTTACTTCTGCCAACATACAGTAAGATGGACTTATTTGTTTCTCTCTCCATGAAGGCAGAGATTTTTTTCTCATTTTGGTCTCTGTTTTATCTCCAGCACCTAGAAGAGGGCCTGGCACACAGGTGGCATTTACTAAATACTTGCTGAATGAATAGTCCTATGGCATGGTATGAAAGTTAGTTTTAAAAGTCAACTTAGCTAGGATATAGTACCCAGTTATTTAATCAAACACTAGTCGAGGTGTTGCTTTGAAGGCATTGGGTAGATGTGGTTCACCTCTACAATAAGTTGACTTTCAATAAAGAAGATTACCCTTGATAATGTCAGTAGGCCTCATCCAATCAGTTGAAAGGCCTTAAGAGCAAAAACTAAGGTTTCCTGGAAAACAAGGAATTCTACCTCAAGACTGCAGCATCAACTCTTGCCTGAGTTTCCAGCCTGCCAGTGGCCCTAAAGATTTGCCAACCAGGTGTGTGTGTGTAATACACCTGGGTACCGTTATCATCTCTATTCTACATATGAAAGACTAGGAACCCAGAGAGGGTCCTTGGCCAAGTTCAACCCAGCTGGTGAACATTCAAAGAATATCTATTACTATCATGGCATTCAAGACCCTCCCAGATATGGTCCCTGCCGATGTCTCCAGCCCCTTCAGCTACCAAGGCATCTGAATGTCCAGCTGCATCAGCTAATAATGGTTCCCTAAGCAGCATGTGTTGCTTCATGCCTACAACGCTTTGCATATGCCATTCCTTCCTCTGGAAAACTCTTCCATTCACCTTTCTCTGACCAACTCCTGTTCATCCTTCAAGGCCCCAGCTCCAACATCCTCTCTCTGGGTACTCCTTATCCAACAGTGAGTCAGGGAGGCTGAAGGACGCACCTCATCAGCGGCAGCTGCAGGTATATGGAGCTGGTTTCGCCGGAGCCAGGCAGCCTTGTACTTGTCCAGTTTCTGGCCCTTGTACTTGACAGAGGCCCAGCCACAGCCAGACTTCTTGGCTGGGTTCACCAGCTTCTTGCAATGGGTGGCCCAGGCGCTGGGTGAGTTGAACACCTGGCCCGTTTCCTGCCACACAATCCTCCCATCGGGCTGCAGGTCTCCCACGAACTTCTTCCCCTGCAGTGACAGTGGGCTGGCTGGGCCCAGGAGCTGGTACCCATCAAGGCCCCTCCTCTGGGAAGTCCTCCCTGACCCCATGCTGCTTCCCAGGGTTTGGTAACCACTTCCTGCTTCCTTCCAGGAAGGCTTCCAGCTTAGGTACCATCCCGATCAGCCTGGATTGGAATTGTCCAGTTATATGACCATCCCCCCTCCCTTCACTGGACTGTGAGCCCCAAAGGGCAGGAACAGGGTCTGTCTTGATCTCCGCTGTGTCCCTAACACCCAACACAGCCTGGCACACAGCAGGTGTTCAATTCACAAATTGCTCCCACTCACAAAGAGCACAACAACAACAGTAACAATAATAGTAATAATAGCAAACACTTATAAAGCACTTACTGTGTAGCAGGCATACTGCTGAGCACTTTATTCATTGAATCCTCACGCAACCCCATGGGAGGAAAGAAAATCCCATTCTACAGATGGGAAAACTGGTATACGGAGAGGTTGAGTGAGATCACACAGTCAGGAGGGCACTAGTGTCCTCTCTGAGCCTAAGTTTCTCCTTTGTGCAGTGGAGTGTTTGGTAAACAATGTTCTCCCGCCCAGAAGGGCTCGTGCTGGGTCAGGATGCTCCGTACCTCAGTTTCCCCTCCCCACACCGGGGGAAAACACACTGGACTCCGGTTTCCCCTTTTGCACCAGCTAGGATGGGATGCGGCTAGGGGGCGCTCACCAGATAGTAGATGGACAGCACCCCGGCGCCGGGCTCCAGCAGCGCGTCTTTGAGGAGCACCCGCAGCGTGACCGCGCGCCTGGTGAGCGCGCCCCCCGGCCCGCCGCAGCTCCCTGGCCCGGCCCCGCCGCCACCGCCGCCGCCTCCGCCGCCGCTGCGCGCGCCACCCGATGCCCCCGGCCGCTCAGAGTCCTCGGCTTCCGCCTCGTACTCGTCCGGCGCCTCCTCGCCCGCGCCGCCCACGGGGGACAGCGGCTCTGGAGCTGCGGGCAGCAACAGGCTGCAGCGGGGCAGCGCACCCCGAGCTGGTCCAGCCACCCCACCCAGCGCCTTGCCGGCCCCCCGCCAGGCCCGCCGTACCTGCCATGGCCGCTCAGCCACACGCCCAGCGCGCCTCTGGTGCTTTCTTCCCGGCACGTGACGCGGCTCCGCCCCGAGGGGGAAGCGCCCCAGCCATTGGCCGCCGCCGGTGGGCGGGTCGGCAGGAGCGAGCGGGGAAAGTCAGGCCTCGGGCCTGCACAACGCTGGAGTAGGCGGCGGCCCAATCCTCCGGGACCGTTCGGAAAACTGAGGCCTGAGGCCACCTTCCATGGGAGGGGGCTGGTAGCCGAGAGTTCAGGGTACCATTGGGGAAATTAAGGCCGGGGGCTTACACTTTCGGAGAACCAATGACGCCACCCGAGGCCATCGCCTACAGGATTGAGGCCTGGGGCTGGGGGACAAGGGGGGTTCAGCCCACTAAGACGAGCGAGGAAACTGAGGTCCGCGGCCACTCCTATTGAGGGACACACAGGCCTCGGCTGTTGGGGAGACACTGGGGCCCGGGAGAATGAGCCACACTGCCCTGGGGCTACGGGATAGAATGGAGAAGCAACCCCGCGCCGCGACTGTAGATCGCCCAAGGCGGGCGGCAGTCTCTAAAGGGTTAACTTCCACCCTCCCCGGCGGCCCTCGACTGATTGCATGATTGGATCACAGCAGAGCCAGCCAACCAATTATAACTGGGTCATTTCATCTTCAGCCAATAGACGGTAGAGGCTGGATTCCTTCGAGCCAATCAGTGTTAAGCTGCAGTCAGCAGGAGACTCCGGCCCCACGCATCCAATCAGTTGTAGGGTCTTGTCCTCAGCTAGCCAATCAGCTTGCGGGTCAAAGCTGGCTCGTGGCCTCCACCCCCCACCCAACCCTAGCGCTTCGTGCATGTGGGCTGAGCCCAGCTAGTGCGCCGCACCGCGGCAGCCCTTTTTTTTCTCGGTGGCCGCTGTCCCGGGACCTCTGCTCCGAGGCGCAGGGCCAGCTCCCAGCGCTGGGACTTACCAGCCCCTCGCAGGGCTTAAAGCCCGGGGTGGAGGCTCCGTTAAGCTGCAGGGCACCTTTGGCTGGGCTCAGCCGCATATAGGTGTACGCAACTCGGGTCTGGAAGAGGGGACAGGCTGTTAGGGGCGGGGGTGTCCAGCCAGCATGACCTGGAATCAGACTGGACCTGGCTCCAAATCCTGCGTCACCACTTCCCAGCTCTGTAACTTTGGCCAAGTGTCTCCACCTCCCTGTTGCCTCCTGGAGATAATAATTCCTACTTCAGAGTTGTTAAAGACCAGGGCTTGACAAAGAGTAAGAGCTAGGGAATGTGAATAATTATTATTACTCATGATGAAATAAAATTTGTATTTTAAGGCACGACAAGAAAAAGTAAACAAAATTCTCTGTTTGTTTGGACCCCCTTCCTCCCTCTCTCCCCAATCTGCATTACACATAACCAGTGATCCTCAAACATGGGAAGATGGGAATGCCTACTCAACAGTAAATGTAACTTCTTAAAAGAATAGTGTTCTTCCCCAGCTCTGTAGGGGATCAGGATGATTTGCTCCTTTTTTTTTTTTTTTTTTTTTTTTTTTTTTTTTTTTTTTCTTTTTTTTTTTTTTTTGCAGTACGCGGGCCTCTCACTGTTGTGGCCTCTCCCGTTGCGGAGCACAGGCTCCGGACGCGCAAGCTCAGTGGCCATGACCCACGGGCCCAGCCACTCCGCGGCATGTGGGATCTTCCCAGACCGGGGCACGAACCCGCGTCCCCTGCATCAGCAGGCGGACTCTCAACCACTGCACCACCAGGGAAGCCCGCTCCTCCCTTTCTACGGGCTTACCTGGACTATCTATCCTTGGTGAACTTTATGTAAAATATCAGTTTGTCATTTTGATGTATGATCCTTTGTCTCAAGGCGGTCCAGTGGTTAAGACTCCATGCTTCCACTGCAGAGAGGGCACGTTCGCTCCCTAGTTGGGGAACTAAAGATCCCGCATGCCCCGTGGTGCAGCTCAAATAAATAAACAAACAAACAAACAAAATGTATATGACTGTGCGTTCAGCTTCTAACAGGCAGAACAGCTCTCAGCGCTTTCTGAGAATCTGCTTCCTCTATTATAATCCCAGTTTGGCTCAAATAAAATTCCCTTTTTTCTTCTTAACTTGATAGTTAAATTTCATTGACACTCACTTTGTGTCCAGTCCAAACCTCCTTTTGGAGTCATCTCACCACCCAGCCAGGAGCTAGCCATCAACTAGGCATCCCCCAGCCCCTTAGACTCAGCAGAGCTCCAACTGGCCCGTTTATTCCCCCATACCCTTGCCTACTTTCTCTTTGGCTCTCTTATAAAACCCAGGACTGGATCTCGAGCCTCTCCCATCTGGATCATTTCCTAGGGACTCAGGCCTCCACACTCACCCACACCCTGTCCATCTCTCACCCTGGCTGGCCCCAGAGAGATCTTTATAAAATACAACTATGGGGCTTCCCTGGTGGCGCAGTGGTTGAGAGTCCACCTGCTGATGAAGGGGACACGGGTTCGTGCCCCGGTCCGGGAAGATCCCACATGCCATGGAGCGGCTGGGCCTGTGAGCCATGGCCGCTGAGCCTGCGCGTCCGGAGCCTGTGCTCCGCAACGGGAGAGGCCACAGCAGTGAGAGGCCCGCGTACCGCAAAAATAAATAAATAAATAAAATACAACTATGACCACCTCCCTCCCCATTGCCTTTGATAAATAAAATTAAAACTAACTGCTGTGTGGATTTCCCTGGTGGTGCAGCAGTTAAGAATCCGCCGGCCAGCGCAGGGGACATAGGTCCGAGCCCTGAGCCTAGAAGATCCCACATGCCGTGAAGCAACTAGGCCCGTGTGCCACGACTACTGAGCCTGAGCTCTGGAGCCCACAAGGCATAACTACTGAGCCTGCACTCCTAGAGCCCATACTCTGAAACAAGAGAAGCCACCTCAATGAGAAGCCTGGGCACAGAAAGGAAGAGTAGCCCCTGCTCGCCGCAAGTAGAGAAAGCCCGTGCGCAGCAACAAAGACCCAACACAGCCAAAAATAAATAAATAAATTTATTAAAAAAAAAAACAAAACTAACTGCTGTGACCTTATTAACCATTAACCATTTACAGCACCCCTATATGGCAGACAGTATAATCAACATTACCAGACAGTTCAGAAGATGAAGAGGTTGCCCAGACTACACAGTTCTTGAGCAGATTCCAAAGGCTACCCTTTGCTATGCATATAAAGTCCAGGCAGCCCTATAACTACTAAGGAAATTGAATTTGTAATTTTAAAAGTCCCCAAAAAGGAACTAGGTATCTTCAAGATTCATAAATTGTTTAAGCTACCCGTTCATTTCTGTAGCAGACTTGACAAGTATTTGAGGTCAAAACCCTATGTGTTTAAAAAAATGTTTTTTACCATGCTAATAAAAGTATTCATTTGCTTGGGAAAAAAAAAAAGTCCCAAAAAAGAGATCTCCAGGTCCAGATGGAGAATTCTATGAAGGTTCAAAGACAAATTAATACCATTTTACATATTCTCTTCCAGAAAATCGAAGAGGAAATATTTCCCAATTCATTTTTTTTAAAGATCTTTTTGATGTGGACTATTTTAAAAGTCTTTATTGAATTTGTTACAATATTGCTTCAGTTTTATGTTTTGTTTTTTTGGCCACGAGGCATATGGGATCTTAGCTCCCTGACCAAGTATCGAACCTGCATCTCCTGCATTAGAAGGCAAAGTCTTAACCACTGGACCACCGGGGAAATCTCCCCAAGTCATTTTATGAAGCTAGCATCTCCCTGACACCAAAACCAGATAAGAAGAGTACAAAGAAAGAAAACTACAGGATATACCTCATGAATCCAAACACAAAAATCCTTACCAAAATATTAATAAATAGAATTCAGTGATACATAAAAAGAATTATATACATCATGACCGAGTGAAGTTTATTCCAGGGGTGCAAGGCTGGTTCAGTATGCCAAATTCAATCAGTGTTTTCCACCATATTTAAGAGACTGTGGTGGGTGGAATAATGGTTCCCTGAAGGTGTCCATGTCTGAATCCCCAGAGCCTGTGAATATTTAGGTTACATGGCAAAGGGGATTTAAGGTTGCAGATGGAATTACAGTTGCTAATCAGCTGACTTTAAGATAAAGAGATGATCCTGGGACTTCCCTGGTGGTCCAGTGGGTAGGGCTCCATGCTCCCAATGCAGGGGGCCTGGGGTTCAATCCCTGGTCGGGGAACTGGATCCCGCATGCATGCCGCAACTAAGAAGCCTGCCCGCCACAACAAAAGATCCCACGTGCCGCAAATGAGACCTGGCGCAGCCTAAATTAATTAATTAATTAATTTAAAAAAATAAAGAGATGATCCTGGACTATCTGCTGAGCCCAGTGTAATAACAGGGGTCCTTAAAAGTGGAATAGAGTCAGGAAGAGATAACTATGGAAGAAATTCAGAGTGATATGATGTGAAGTTCCTACCCACAGTTGCTGGCTTTGTGGATGGAGGAAGGAATGAGGAAAGCTTCTAGAAGGTGGAAGAGGCAAGGCAATAGATTCATTCTTTGAGCCTTCAGAAAGGAAAACAGCCCTGCCAACACCCTGATTTTAGCTTTGTGAGATCCATGTAGGGCTCCTAACCTACAGAGCTGTAAGATAATACATTTGTGTTGTTTTAAGCCTTTAAATTTGTGATAATTTATTATATCAACTACAGAAAACTAACACACAAGCTAAAGAAGAAACATCATAAGAATGTATCAATTCATGCAGAAAAAGCATTTGACAGAATTCAACACCCACTCATAATAAAAACTCTCAGCAGACTAGGAACAGAGGGAAACTACCTCAGCTTGGAGAAGCACGTCTACAAAACTTCAGTTAACATTGTGCTTAATGGTGAAAGACGGAACACTTTTTTTTCTTTTGCCATGCCACGTGGCATGTGGGATCTTAGTTCCCCGACCAGGGATTGAACCCGTGCCCTCTGCAGTGCAAGCATGGAGTCTGAACCACTGGACTGCCAGGGAAATCCCACTTTTCCCCTTAAGACTGGGAACAAGGCAAAGATGTCCACCCTCGCCACTCTTATTCAACAGAGTCCTGGAAGTGCTAGCCAGCACAATAAGATAAGAAAAGGAAATAAAAGGCATACAGATTGGAAAGGTGGAAGAAATGAAACTAACCCTATCTGCAGATGACATGATGGCCTGTGTACAAAATCACAAGAAATCTACCAAAAATGCCCCTTGAACTAAGAAGTGGGTTAGTTCAGCAAGGTTATAGGATAAGAGATCAGCACACAAAAATCAATGGCATGTCTGTATGCTAGCAATGAATGTGAAAACTGGAACTAAAAATACAATGGTGTTTATAATTACTAAGGAAGGAATGAAGAAAGAAAGAGAAAGAAAGAAAGAGAGAGAGAGAGAAAGAAAGAAAGAGAAAGAAAGAAAGAAAGAAAGAAAGAAAGAAAGAAAGAAAGAAAGGAAAAGAGAGAGAAGGAGGGAGGGAGGAAGGAAGGAAGGGAAAGACCATGTCTGTGGGCTGGAAGACTCAACACAGGACATAAAAGATGTCAAGTCTCCCTCAACTGATATACAGGTTTAGTGCTATTCCTGTCAAAATCCCTGCAAGATTTTTGGTAGATACAAACAAGATTGTTCTAACATCCAGGCGGCCTAATGGGCTTCCTGGACATTGTATCACTCTCTGGTCTCATCCCCTCACCACTCTGGCACCAGACTCCATTCTCTCCTTTCCAGGCCTTTGCTTAGGCAGGTCCCCCTCCTGATGCCCTGGCACTGACAGCTCCCAGCAGCTCTCTCCTCTGTTCCCTTACTCCAGCCAGGCCTCCCTGACCTCTTTTGGGCACCAGAGAGGAGGGGATTTCCCTAGGATCTCGGGACCTGCCCAGGCCCAGCCCCCACCCAGCCCTGGCAGGGGAGGGAGCTCGGGAGCTGACAGAAGAGAGGAAATTCCCCTGGAACCTGTTTCTCTGCTTCCTGGCTCAGCTGGGGCACCCACTGGAGGGAGAGGCCAGGCCAAAGACCCGGCCCGCCATGGCCTTGGCCCTGAGGCCACCCCGGGTTCCCAAGCCCAAGAGCAGCCTGCCCTCACACTACCACGAGAGCTTACTGGAGAAGAAAGGACCCCGAGACCGGGTAAGACGGGCCAGGGAGCTGGCGCTGCTGGGCGGCCTAGGCAAGTGCAGCACCTCTCTGAGCCTAGACCTCCGCAGCCGGCCCAGGAGAATGCAGTGGGTGCTGGGTGGGGCAGGGCATGGACTGGGGGCTGGGAAAGGTTACGTCCCTCTGTCTGTCTGTCTCTGTCTCTGTCTGTGTCTCTGATTCTGACCTGAGCTCTTTCTCTGTATTTCTCTCTGCCTGGCTCCATCTCTCTCTGTCTTGGTCTCTTTATGTCGCTCTCGGATACAAACAGGATCAGCGACTTTACTCCAGGAAATGGGGAGTCTTCTGATTCCCACACCTCCCCCCTCCCCCCCCCCACCCTGAGCTAACTCTGTGAACTTCAGATCCAGGGGTCAAAGTCAGTACAGATTGTGAGGAGGGACAGAGCGAATTAATGGGGGCTACGTCCCACAGAACCAGATACTGGCCAGGGGCCCAATGTGTGTGTGTGTGTGTGTGTGTGTGTGTGTGTGTGTGTGTGTGGCGCTGTGTGTGTGTGTGTGTGTGTGTGTGTGTGTGTGTGTGTGTGTGTCCTTCTCAGAATAAAGCCCAGCCTGGTTGCCACTAAGGCCCATCCTCCTCCTCATCTGCATACTCATCTCCTACCAGGACCAGGCTTTTCTCTGCCTTTGCCCTGGCAGTTTCCTCCTCCCATCCTTCAGCCTCCACACATCCAAATCCTCCCCAGCCTAGAAAGCATCCAGAGGCAGGAGATTTCAGGGGTTAAAAAAGAGCACGAGGGCCCCAGAGGATGAGACCCAAGTTCACATCCCTGCTCCGCGCGGTCCTGACTCCCAAGCCGTGTACAAGTGACTCTGCATCTTTGTGCCTCGGTTTTCTCTATTATAAAATGGAGAGGAAAAAAAAAAAAAAAAAGGACTCCCTTGGTCGTTCAGTGGTCAAGATCCCACACTGCCGCTGTAGGGGGTGCAGGTTCTACCCCTGGTTGGGGAAATAAGATCCTACAGGCCACACCGTGAGGCCAAAAACATAAAATTAAAATTAAAACTAAAAAAATAAAATGGGTTGACAAGGCCATAGGCATGGTTACAGAAGAGGGATATCTCTTTATTTTTTTTTTTTAATTTATTTTTGGCTGCTTTGGGTCTTCGTTGCTGCGCGCGGGCTTTCTCTAGTTGCGGCAAGCAGGGGCTACTCTTTGTTGCGGTGCGTGGGCTTCTCATTGCGGTGGCTTCTCTTGTTGCGGAGCACGGGCTCTATGCGCAGTGGGCTTCAGTAGTTATGGCACACGGGCTCAGTAGTTGTGGCTTGTGGGCTAAGAGCGCAGGCTCAGTAGTTGTGGCCCACGGGCTCTAGAGCACAGACTCAGTAGTTGTGGCACATGCGCTTAGTTGTTCCATGGCATGTGGGATCTTCCCAGACCAGGGCTTGAACCCGTGTCCCCTGCATTGGCAGGTGTATTCTTAACCACTGCACCACCAGGGAAGTCCCGAGGGATAACTCGGGATGCCTGAGGGATAACTCTTAACATGCCAAGGATCTGACTCAGCGCTTTGCATGTATTAATTCACCCAATTCTCACAACAGTCTCTGAGGCAGGTACTTTTTTTTTTTTTGGCCATGCCAAGAGGCATGTGGGATCTTAGTTCCTGGACCAGGGATCGAATCTGTGCCCGCTGCAGTGGAAGCCCGGAGTCTTAACCACAGGAAGTCCCAGGCAGTCACCATTATTATTGCCATTTGCACAGATAGCTTGAACAATGTGCAATGGATGGCATATAGCTGGTGCATGACAAAGTAGGTCTGACCATGTGAGTTTAATCACTTACTGCTGTATTCTCAGTGCCTGACACATAGTAGGTCTTCAGTAAATGTTAAATGTATGTATGTAGTATGTACCTATGGATGGACAGATGGGTGACTGGGTGGAGGGCCAGATAGGTGAATGGATGGATACATAGAGCTATACTTTGGAGACACTGCAGGTTTGGTACCAGACCACCACAATAAAGCAAATATATATTATTTATTTATGTATGTATTTACGTATTTATGTATGTATGTATGTATTTATTTTAGCTGCTGCCAGGTCTTAGTTGCAGCATGTGGGATCCTCAGCTGCGGCAGGTGGGCTTCTCAGGTGCAGCATGCAAACTCTTAGTTGTGGCATGCAGGATCTAGTTCCCCAACCAGGGACTGAACCCAGGCCTCCTGCAATGGGAGCACCAGGGAAGTCCCACAATAAAGCGAATATTGCAATCAAGTGAGTCATATGAATTTTTTAGCTTCTCAGTGCCTATAAAATTTATGTTTACACTAGACTGTACTCTATTAAGTGTGAAATAGCATTCTATCTTAAAAAAACAATGTATGTACCTTAATTTTAAAATGACGCTGTTGGAAAAATGGCGCCGAAAGACTTCTTCAAAGCAGGGTAGCCAGAAATCTTCAATTTGTAAAAAAGAAAAAAACAGAATATCTGTGAAGTGCAATAACATGAGGTATGCTTGTAGACAGGTGGATGGATGGGTGGGTGAGTACATAAGTTGATAAAAAGGATGAATGGATGGATGTGCGGCTGGATGAACGGATGGGTAGGCAGATGGATGAATTGATAGGTGGATTGATGGATGGATGATCGCTGTCAATATAAGAGCTACCCTCATTATCATTATGGACTAATTAAAGTACCTCCTCTTTCAGGAAGTCTTCCCAGATTTCCCAGTTGGAGGGCTTCTCTCCTTCTCTGTGATATCTTGGTCCAGGATCTATCCCTCCCTGAGGGTGCTAATTTCTCTTCTTTGGAGGATTTAAGTATCTATGCTTTCTCTATCTTTCTAAAACATCATTATTTTATTTTATTTGGCTGCACCATGCAGCTTGCGGGATCTTAGTCCCCACCCCCACCCCTCACCCCCAGGGATGGAACCTGTGCCCGCTGCAGTGAAAGCACGGAGTCCTAACCACTGGACCCCCAGGGAATTCCTGGAACATCATCTATTTAGAAAAAGGAGCCATGCCCCATTTATTATTTTGCCTGCAACAGAGCTGAGCGCAGAGTAGGTGCTCAGGGAATATTTGGTGAAAAAAATTCTAGAATCTTATAATTTGATTTGTATCAGCCCCTTCGGCCTCCAGAGAGCTAGGACATTTGGAATTCAGAATCCTGAGGGGGAAATCCTGAATCTGCAGACCTTCTAGTGTCCAGAGCCTTGTGAAATTCTGACTGCAGACTGAGCACCTAGCCCAGTGCCTGGCACCTAGGAGATGTTAATATTTACAGGGTGGATAAGGGGACAGGGGGTTATATGTATGTATGGGTGAATGGGAGGGTGGAAGGATGGGAGGGTGGAACAGATGGATGAGTGGGTGGATGCATGGAAAACCATAAAGTGAGTTAGCACAAATTACTCCTAAAGCTCCCACCCCTGTAGGTTCCCTTTGGTCCTTTCTCAGAGAGTAACAGATCCCCAGAAGCCAGGCCATGGATGAGGAGGGCCTCCCCGAGAAGGCAACACTTGTTCAAAGACCCAAAGCAGGTGATGAAGGAAACTATGTAAAGATCTGGGAGAAGAGTGTTCAGGCAGAGAGAACAGCCAGTGCAAATGTCCTGAGGTAGACTATGAAGGAGGTACCCAGCCTCGCCACCTCACCTCCTTCTCTTTCTCCAACTGTGGTCCACAGGATTACAAGAAGTTCTGGGCAGGCCTCCAGGGCCTGACTCTCTATTTCTACAATAGCAATCGGGACTCCCAGGTAAGGATGGAAATGAAGGCTCAAGAATTGGCCCACCTTGACCCCAGGGACCAAGCAGAGGACGTGGATGGTATGTCTAAGACAGGGGGCCTGAGGGGCCACAGGCCTGGTGCTCAGACCCTGTCTACTGTGCCCCCAGCATATGGAGAAGCTAGACCTAGGAATGTTTGTGAAGCTCACAGATGAAGCTCCCTGGGGGAGCTCCCATGACTCTGGCACCCACTTTTGCTTGGTCCTGCGGAACCAGGAGATCAGGTTCAAGGTAGGTGTCTTAAGGTGGGGCTGGTAGGAGACCCTTCCTTCTTGTCACACCCACCATTAACACATAGTAGCATGGAGTCACACAAAATTTACCACTGGGTTGGTGACACTGGGCAAGTCACTTAACCTCTCTGGGCCTCAGTTTCCTCAACTGAAAAGTCGGATAATATATGTAAAGTGCCCAGAACAAGATCTGATCCACAAAGACCATCACTGCCATCATCCAATCTTTCAGCTAACATTACTGAGCACCTACTGTGTACCAGACACTCTTCTAGTGTCACAGCAGTGACTAAGACAATTAAAAATCCCTGCGCTTAGAACATTCTCCAACACCATACCCAAAAGTAAACTCAAAATAGATTAAAGACCTAAATTTAAGACCGGATACTGTAAAACTCCTAGAGGAAAACATAGGCAGAACACTCTTTGACATAAATTGCGGCAATATCTTTTTGGATCCACCTCCTAGAGTAATGGAAACAAAAATAAACAAATGGGACCTAATTAAACTTAAAAGATTTTGCACAGCAAAGGAAACCATAAACAAAATGAAAAGACAACCTACAGAATAAGTGAAAATATTTTCAAACGATGTGGCTGACAAGGAATTAATCTCCAAAATATACAAACAGCTCATACAGCTCAATATCAAAAAAAAAAAAAAAAAACAACAACCAAATCAAAAAGTGGCAGAAGATCTAAACAGACATTCCTCCAAATAAGACATACAGATGGCCAAGAGGCACATGATAAGATGCTCAACATCGCTAATTATTAGAGAAAAGGAAATCAAAACTACAGTGAGGTACCACCTCACACCAGAAAGAATGGCCATCATCAAAAAGTCTACAAATAATAAGTGCTGGAGAGGGTGTGGAGAAAAGGGAACCCTCCTAACACTGTTGGTGGGAACGTAAATTGGTGCAGTCACTATGGAGAACAGTATGGAGGTTCCTTAAACAACTAAAAATAGAGCTACCATATGATCCTGCAATCCCACTCCTGGGCATATATCGGGAGAAAACAATAATTTGAAAAGATATATGCACCCCAATGTTCACTGCAGCACTATTTACAATAGCCGAGATATGGAAGCAACATAAATGTCCATTGACAGATTATATATATATATATATATATATATATATATAAAGCCCCTGTGGCTGGAGCAGAGTGAAAGAGGGGGAGAGAGGGAGGGAAGGAGGGTTGCGGGGGGGCGGGGGAAAGGGTCAGGTTGTACAGGGCCTGTGGGTGACAAGGAGGACCTGGGCTTCTACCCTGAGGGAGGTAGGAGTCAAGGGAGGGTCTCAAGCATAGGAGATACATGATCTGACTTATGTTTTTTTAAAATGTTGATGTAATAACATTAAAGAATAACAGTACCCCACATTACTAAGAACTTATATTCAGACATCATTCTAAATTAACCTGTTCAAGCTCATTTAATCTTCAAAACAGCCCTTGGACACAGGGACTCTTATTCCTCACTCCCACTTCACAGATGACTAGACCGAGGCTCATCGACACAAAATCTTTTTCTTTCCCTCCCTAGGTAGAGAGTCTGCAGTCTCGGGAGATGTGGAAAGGCTTCATCCTGACGGTGGTGGAGGTAAGAGTGGTCGTCCTCGGCCCCTCTCTCCCCCATTCCCCACTAGGCCTGCTTAGAAATCCTCTTTTTAATTTCCAACCTTCATTCCCCAAACAAACCTCTCCAGTATAGCAAACTGGTCACAAACTGGCGGCCTATGAACCAGATGTAGCCCATAAACGTCTTTTGTTTTGCCGACACAGTGCTATAAATTTAAGTCAGCTGCTATCACTTAAAAATCAGGAGTGTTAGTAAACATTCCTGATTTCTAGGTTATTCATTTGTTCCCAGTCTGCCCCCTGCAGGCCGTTGCTAGCAAATGCTAGCATTTGCTCTGTCTTCCTCATCACCGAAGTCTTCTCTATGCCCACTTTGCCCCTGAGGTGTCAGGTGGCTCTGGAGCCCCCAGACCTGGGTTCCCATCCTGGCTGTATCCGCACTCTGGCCTCAGTTTTCCCCTCTGTGACACAGTCACAGCCTCCCATTCCCTGACGCCCCAATGCCCGCCTCAGCTCCGTGTCCCGTCTAACCTGACCCTGCTGCCCGGACACCTGTACATGATGGCCGAGGCCCTGGCCAAAGAAGAGGCACGACGTGCGTTCGAGATGCCCTCGTAAGTGCCCGAGGGTCTCCAGGATGGTGGCGGGCTGGACAGCATGGAGCCGGAGAGGGCAGTGAGTGGGGTCTCCAGGCGTTGGTTCTTGAGCGTCAGACTGCATCCGGGCAGGGGCGGGGATTAGGTCTCACAGCCGGGAGCCCTACTGGGTGTTTGGGGCGGGCCTAGCTGCCTGGGGGCGGGCCTGGATCTCCATGGGCGGGCCTAGGTGCCTGGGGGCGGGACAAGTTTTCCAGGAGAGGGTATAGGTGCCTGGGAGGCGGGTATGGGTCTCTGAGTGTTGGCCGGTGTGCCCGCAGGATAGCCTGAGCCTCCGGAGGCAGAGCCTGGGCCTGGGGTCGGGCAAGGCAGGGTCTCCAGGAACCAGGTCGTGGATGGGAGGGCAAGGCCGGGCGCCCAGGGGCGGGGTTACGTGGGGAGGGCGTGGCTGTCTCTGGGGGCGGGGCCTGTCCCTGTGAGTGACGCGGCCCGCCCTAGGTGCTTCCTGAAAGTGAGCCGGCTGGAGGCTCAGCTGCTCCTGGAGCGCCACCCCGAGTGCGGGAACCTGCTGCTCCGGCCCAGCGGGGACGGCGCGGGCGGAGTGTCGGTCAGCACCCTCCAGACGCTCAAGGGGTGCGCATGCGTGGCCCCGGCGCCGGGGTGGGAGGGGCGTCGGGTGCGGGGGTGTGGTCACATATAGGGGCGGGGCCAGGCAGAATGTGGAGCCGGGGGCGGGGGGCCTCCCGGGATGGAATCCATACAGGACGGTCCTCCTGGGGGGCAGTGCCAGGACCAGGCGCAGGATTTTTCTAGGAGGTGGAGTCTTTCGAGGGCCTGGTCCCCTGCAGAGACCCACGCCAGGATGTGGCGTGGTCAGTGTGCAGGGGAGCAAGTCGGGGTTAGGCCCTCCATGGTGGCGGGGCCCGGACGAGAGGCAGGCCATTTTTTGTCCTCACCCAGGCCACTCACTCGCCCCTGCCCTTGTAGGACGCCGGTGGTCCGGCACTACAAAGTGAAGCGCGAGGGCCCCAAGTACGTGATCGACGTGGAGGAGCCGGTGAGCGCTGGGCCCGGGTCCCGGGAATTGCAAAGGTCTGCTCCCCTTCCCCGCCAGCCCTGATAACATCCCCTATCTGAACCCAGTTCTCCTGCACCTCGCTCGACGCAGTGGTCAACTATTTCGTGTCGCACTCCAATGAGAAGCTGGTGCCCTTCCTGCTGGACGATGACTACGAGAAAGTGATAGGTTGGTACAGCCTCAGGGAACTCGGGGGGGCCCAGTCCACGCCTCTCCCGCCCCCTCCCCTCCCCTGACACCCTTGGGTCAGCCCCCAGCCGCCGTGCCTCCTCCAGGCCGCCCTCTCTGTTCCAGGCTACGTGGAGGCGGATAAAGAGAATGGCGAGAGTGTGTGGGTGGCGCCCTCGGCCCCCCGCCCAGGTGATGCCCTGTCCCCGCGGGCGCCACTGGAGCAGAGTGGGGAAAGACCTAGGAACCTCATGGCGCCACCTGTGCCCAGTCTTCTACGCAGAGTTGCAGGGACCGAGAAATTACCCAGACCTTGCTCTCTAGGGGCTTCCAGGTTATGGAGGGGGCGGGCATGGCTGGGCACGGACAGTCCCAGCCCTGCGGAGACGAACCTGGGGCTGGGGCGGGGTAGGGGGGAAGGCGCGACACCTAGAGCTTGGAGAAGAGGAGGCAGGGCAGAGTGGAGGGGAGTCTTCCTGGAGGAGGGGGTGTTTGCTGAAGGTCTCAAAGGATTTCAGTAGGTAGAGATGGGAAATCATGGTGGGAGGTAGTCCTGATTACAAAGCAAGAAGAGACTGGAAAGGTCTGTGGAGTGAGCAGTATAGTTCTTTCTGGGCTGGGCAGATGCTTTGGTCCCCACGTGCATGATGGGCCCAAGTATACATACATACATACAAGCCACACTCATGAACACAAACCTGTATGTGTCCACCTGCATAATCAGAAGCTCCTATGTAGATAGTGGCTCCACACATGCATGAATACAGGTGTCACACAGTTCCAGTCCCATGTAGCACACATACATACCTCACGTCACAATCACGTACATACACACAAATGCAGACATACCCACTCAAGAGCACAAATTCAGACTTTTACACATACACCAAATTAGTGCACACACTAATATAGACAAGCGACCAAGCACATACCTTAGCATCCATGCGATGTCACGCACACACGTGTGTATAAACCCTTTGCATATATTCAACTTCCGCAAGTTCACCCAGTGTCCATGTATATGCTACACAGGGACACACACACAGACTCATAAACGGACACGTGCACAGACACACATGTACAGGGACACATGCATGCAACGAGGTGTGCACATACATCCTCACCCTGAGGTGTCTCTGCACCACGTAGGCCCTGACAGTGACCACAGTTTCCCACCAGGTCCTGCACCCCCTAGGGGTGGCCCTAAGCAGCTGCCTCCCTCGTCCATCACGCCTGTGTCCAGCCAGGACAAGCTGCCCCCACTACTGAACCAGGATGAGAACTATGTGATCCCCATTGGAGAAGACCCAGCTGCCAACTACGTGAACGGGGACGGTGGGTGGTGGCCGGGGTGGATGAGAGTTGGAAATGAGGAGCGGGCTAACGACTGGATGTGACATGCCACATCTCTGTCCATGCAGTGCCTTCCCCTAGTCGACCAGTTGTCCCGAAGCCCAGGAAGTTGGCTATGTTTCAGGCAAAGCCTCCAAAGCCACCCATTGTGCCCAAGTCAGGTAGGGGTCCCTCTTCCCAGCCCCTTTCCCATCCAGCCAAGAGCCAGCCTCAGCCCTCATCTACCTTCTCCACCAGAGCCCAGAAAAGGCCTCAACAGTGGCCTGGCCAGGAAGCTGGCAGTCAGCTCAGCGCAGGCTTTCTCCTCCCCAACCACAGGTAAGGGGTCAATGCAGGGTGGGCTTCACAAGCGGGGGACCCGTGTAGTCACACGTGGGTGACCTCCACGCTTGGTTTAATGCTCTGCTGTGTCCATCTTGAAATTCCTCATGTCCACTGAACACATGTTTCATTTTATGCTGGGCCCCGAAAATTCTGCAGCAGTCCTGGGTGGATATAAGAGAGAACAGCCTGGACTGGGGAATCCCTGGTGCCGCTGAGGCCTCAGGGACCACCCCCCTCCCCACTCCCAGGGCTGGCAGATGTGACAGCAGAGCTGAAAGGGAAACTGCAGAGGAGACTGGCGCTGCAGCACGCAGCCGAGTGCACAGGGGACCAGCGGGCCAATCTCCAAGTGTGGCACATCAGTCAGGCAGATCCCTCCTCCCAGAATTAAAGCTCAAGTGACCCCAGGACCTGCGTGTTTGGCTTGGCTGGGTGGGGCAGTGCGGGGTCCCTCAGATGACTGCCCACAGTGGTCCTCAGCTCAGCAAAACCTGCCTCCTGACCCTCAAGAAAAGCCTTTTTGGTGGGGACTGTGCCTCACAGCTCATGGGATCTGAGTTCCCCGACCAGGGATCGAACCCGGGCCTCAGCAGTGACAGCTCTGAGTCCTGACCACTGGACCGCCAGACAATTCCCAAGAAAAGCCCACTTTACAGCCAAGAAAGCTGAGGTCCAGAGAGGGCCAGGCACACCCAGTGCCACCCAGCCCCGAAAATAATACCAACAGCACCGCCTGGCCAGTGTTTGACCTTTATTAGGAGGTGACGTGGGGAGGAGGGCCCGCCCCCGTGCCCGCTCCCCACTGGTGACCCCCATCAGGAGTTAAGGCTCCAAGCAGCAAGTGAGAGGAGGGTGCCCAGCTGAAACAGCCGAGGCCTGGAGGCGCCCCCCGCCCCCGAAATCAGCCCAGCTGAGGGGCCGTCCCGAGGCCTAGGTGAGGCTGGTGTTGGAGCTGCTGGTAGCGCTGCCCCGCTTCTGCAGGCAGCGCACAGAGCTGGGGACCTGAAGGCCTGCCGTCACGTGGAAGCTGCCACACCACACCTGGGGGATGGCGTGGGGGGGGGGGGG